TCTATATATATAGATATATCTCCAGAGAATGTGAAACTGAAATGTGATCTGTATATAAATAAATAAAGGTCAACATTTGGCAATAAAATTAATATGGAGAATACCCCGAACCACTGGATGGGTACATGCCGCTATTGCTCTGAGCCAGGGACTTTCTTGGAGTAGCAAGGACTCCTAAGTGATCCTTCAAGGCCTCAGCGGTAGGTCACCTCTCCCAAGAAATTTGGTGCAAGTTTCCTCTTTGTTGAAATTAGTTATCAACAGCCTACTCTGCTCATAGTGGGCAGGGGAACAGAATTGAAGATCAAGGACAAGGAATGTTAAACGCGAGGACTCTTTCTAGTGGTTGAAATTTCTTTGGGCACTTATCAATTCCCATCGTTGATTAAGGCAAGCGTCCTCTTTCGCATTCATAGGGCCAAACCCTTAACTCTAGGTAGAAGAAAGTGTCCCTGGGTCACTGGTGGAGGAAGGAAGAACCTGACCTCCCAAATTGTTGGCTGGGTGGGAGAATTACATTTTTCAGAAATTCATTATAACCAAGAGGGGGCCAGATTTCCGGGTGCAACTGGAAGAGTGGGTTGGGTGTGGGGACTTGGGAAGCCAGAGAGATTCTCAGGAGGTTGGCGATTACGGAAAAAACGCTCCTCAGCACAGTCCAGGAGCGAGAAGACCCGCCTCTGGGGCCTGGCCAGTAGGGCGAGACCCCCGACAGCCCCGGGGAGTCCGACACCCACTTCCGGGTTTGGCAGCGCTCCCCTGCGGCCCCTCCCAGCACCCGGTAGTGGGGTCTCCGGGCGCATGCGCTGCCGCTCTGGGACTGGCCCAACTTACTCTAAACAATCTCCTCCCCCTCCCGCTTGGGGCGTACCATTTGCCTTGGGGGGGGGACGCGCCCCCGAGTACTCAGAAACCAGCTCCCCTTCCTCTGACCGGGGAAGGTAAGTTTGCCTCAGATTTTTGAAAGTTCCTAGAACACGAAGGCCTCAGAAGCCCGTTGCTCGACGCTCTCGGCGTTGCCCACAGCCCTGGACTCTGAGGCGTGGAACAAAGTGGCACGCCCGGATCCCAGCTGATCAGCTGCTGGGCTTTGGCGGCGGCTTCCCCGGGCAAGACCATCGCGACTCCTCGGGAGGGGTGCGTGCGGAGGGGAGGGGGCGGAGCGGCCATTGTCCGGTCAGCGCAGCCTCCAGGGGAGGGGAGCGTGTTACGGAGGGAGCGGGGCCTCGGGCGTCACAGCGGCCGCGGCGACTCCAGGGCCGGCGGGGGCCTCAGGTCTATCCCCGAGCTGCCGCGCGGGACCTCTCTCTGGCCGGCGAGCGGCGGCGGGAGCTGCCGAGGCCGCCGGGTCGCCATCCTCCGCCGAGGCCCTCGTCCGCCCGCTCGCCCCTCCTCCAGAGCTCCCCGCCC